TAAGAATCCAATAAAAACTCATTTTTCGAAAAATTGCAAAAAAGGGCTGTTTTAATAGATAACACCCCATATGATTGCATTACGTACCTCATGCAAGACAAAAATTTGTATTTTAAGTGAAAATGATTCTAAATTGATTTGCGTAAAAAATTTTTCTCCCTGCCCATATGATCCATATGATCATATAAATGCCGGATAATAAGATAACATAGATAATGAATATAATACAGATATCGGAGATAATAAAAAGACTTCAATTTCAAATGTATATACTATTTTTGCTATGAGACATCAAAGATTGTACTACTTCGGAGCAGTGCAAAATTTGAAAGATTACTATGTTGTCATACTAGGTCAAATATAGCAATCTCAATATCAATATTTAATGCAAAGAAGGTGATAAGAACTCATTCGTTAATCCATATAAGTTAAAGCCTTTCATAATTACCATTTTTAAAGCTTCTAAATAAACCAACATGGAATTTAACATAAGAGGCGAATTCTTGTTTGTATTTATACATATAAATACACTCACGTTATGATCTGGTTCAGTTCGTATTTATAATTTCTATCGTATTAACATTATTAATATTTCAAAAAACCAAAATGAAAGACAACGTCAATCTTAGAATGGATTCAATATCTGATTGTCGACAAATGGCCATAATATACATGAAAAAATTGTCTAATCTTGACAGCTCTCAGATGTTTAAAATTATTAGTAATATCGTAATAAACAATCTGTATCTAACACAGCACGAAAAGAATTATCTAATACATGATCTGATTAAAACAAGAGATTCACAAAATATTATAGAAGAAATTGGAGAAAAAAGGTTATGCAGTAATTGTAATAACAAAGTTTTTGCTATTCTTTATTGTGAAAATTGCATTCGAAATTATTTAAAAAGTAAATTTAACAAATGGACTACTGGAAATGATAAGGTTGATAAATTAATTCAGGAATGCCAAATCAATACAGTGGCACCATCGAACATAATTGAATGGATTCCTTTTAAAAACTTTGAAAATTTTATACCAAAAACAGAATATGGCACATCATTGGTCTATACTGCAACGTGGAAGAGTGGACCATATATAGAATGGGATGTTGAACAACAAATGCTAAAGAGAGATGGTAAAGGAACTTATATTCTCAAGAGCTTGAATAATTTTGAAGAGGAAAGGCTCAAAGAGGTAATATAAATAAGTTATAAAATATATAGCATAACCAATATCGTTATATCCATCCATTGAATCAGGAAAAATCAATCTATTTGTTAAGTTTATATAATTTACTAATGCTTAACACCTATTAACTATTATTTTTAGGTTATTAAGAATCTTTCTATTGAAAAATATTCACAATCTCTTGTAAGATGCTACGGATTCACTAGAGATCCAACTACTCAAAATTATATGCTTGTGCTTCAACATATGGACAGTAATTTATGTGATTTTCTTACAAAGAAACCAGATTTACCTTGGAAAATCAAATTTAAGATAGTCAAAAATATCTCTAATGGTATAAGAAAATTACATAAACTTTCAAACTCTGCACATAAAAATTTGCATCCAAGAAATATCCTAGTTGATGAGGCCAAGTTTCATTGTGTAATTAGTGACTTTTGGTTTGATTCACCAAGAAACTCGTCTAATCGTATTTACAAAAATATCCTGTACACTGCTCCTGAAGTATTGTGCAATAAACCATATACAAAAAAATCAGATATATACAGTTTAGGAATGCTTATGTGGGAACTCACCTCTGGTAAACCCCCTTTTAATGATGAAATAACTAAATCAGTTGATGAATTTGCTAGTGACATAATTAATGGATTGCGACCAAAGGTTGTTGATGGAACTCCACTTGATTACGCTGCTTTAATGATTAAATGTTGGGATGCGATTCCTGAAAATAGGCCTGATGCTAATATTGTTATGAAAGAAATGGAGTCATTGCTCAGAAATATTTATGAAAATGATTATGCAAATCGAGAATTAAAACTCATTCCACTTAAGATCAATTCTAAAACTCCAGTGAAAAATTTTATTAAATGTCTTGAAAGAAAATTTAAATGTTCTGTTGCCTGGTCTAGAAAAATGCGTATAGACATTTATATGAGTTCTTCAAAGCGAAAACCTGTAATTGCTGGCTCCGTTTTCTGATCCGACTCCTAAATTAAGCAAAACATTATATGATGTGTTAAATCCCATTTTTCGGGGTTTGATCTGTAAAATTAATTTCGGAAAAGTCCCAATTACAGTTTTCGCACTCAAAAAATCTAAGATATGATTTGATAACAAACTTAGCAACTTAACTGGTTAACCGACTGTCGGTCGCTCAAGTGGTCAATCTGTAATAGGTCAGTAATCGACTATGACCGGCTGTGACCAACCGTTAGCATCCCTAAGCTGGTTATAATTTTATAATCACGGGGCAAAAAAAAAAATGATGGTTTTATGTGGAATGTTTTATGATAAAGAGATATATAGCTTCTATTCTTTTTGAAGTTTCGATTCAGAATTATTTTTACTTCGGAGCCTTATATAATTACTTTTTCATATAATTGAATAGCACGAATTCTAAAAATTGCTACCTTTTGTTTTTATTTGTATTCTCCCTATTCCTCCTATTTACACTATATCCTGAATGTATAGAATATTACAGTATTAACGTTAAGAATTCCAGAAATTTTTGGAATTTGTACTTCGTCGATCATCACAATGACTTCCGAGGGTCGATCCGTTCCTTCCTTTTACAATACATAAATTATGTTACTAAAAGCGGGATTATAATATGAGTACATTTATGATAGATATTGATGTTGTCAAATTTCTCGGGCCTTTAATTTATCAACTGTTGAAACTAAACTAGACTTAGGGACGGGGAATACTTCCGCTATCAAATTGGAAATTTTTATCATACTAACATCAATTATTCCATTTTATTCCATTTTATTCCGATATCACCAAAAAAAATTTTTTTAGCAAATCAAAAATTTAATTTTCAAAATAATTTTCAATTTCCGAAGATTATTACGATTATTACGCAATAAATAGCGAGATTTGATTGGCTATAATTTATCATTTTATTCATTTTATTCCATTCTATTCTTAATGGAAGTATTCACCGTCCCTGACTAGACTTTACACACTGCGGCCACTTATTTATTAAATTATGGTGTTAAGTAGATCGACGCATCATTAAAATGCATTTTAGTTTTCAGAACTTACTTTGTCTTAAGAATTTAATTGAATAGAACGTGCTTATAGAATTTCTATAATTTTTTAAGAATATTACTCTTTTCCTATTTACTTTGTTTTTAATCTACGCTAATGCCCGTGAAATTTGTGACACAATCACCAGACGTAATTAAACAATATATATTGAAACCTTTTTTTTTCCTTTTCAAACTTATTTAATATTAAAAAAGTATAAATTCGTATAAATTGCTTAATCACATCTTTCTTTATATATTACAAGAACATATAAAATTATTTTTATTTTCAATATCTCTTCCACACCGCATTTAATCCAATATAGATAATGCTGTTGTATGTATCGTTGTACTCTTGTTTTATCAAAGTTTTAATTATTAAAATCAAGTAAACCCTATTTCGTCTGCATTTATTAATTTTACTTCCAAGTGTTACTATTGAGTGCCAACGAAGATTAATATTTACCATAAATCAACGTGTTGGAACTCAAAATTTTGAACTTGGAGATAAATAATAATTACATTACACATATTTAACTAATGACCTTTCTTTATAAAAATATTAGGATAATTGATTTAATTCCATTCTCGTATATGATCATCTCTATTTGCGTTATAACAATAAGAAATGCTTACGTTAAACGCAATACTTTTTATGGATCTTTACCTAATGAAGAAACTGACGATAATGATCAATCAGTTACAAATCGTGCTAGATTAGTTGTCAGCGCAGTTATATTAATAATACGGTTGCTACTTGTGATTATGTATCAAGATTCGATAGAGCTTCAACACATACTTTGGCCAGTTGCTTGGGTGCGCCCTTATATATATTGTTTTGATTCATTTGCTGAATCATAAATTCAACTAACGTTTTTTTTTTTTTTTGTTCTAGGGTTATGCGTCTTTATTAGCGCTGACCCTTATTCTACATCCACAACAATGCAGAGCTTTAAATATCAGCATTCACTTAAAAAGATTATATTTCCTCTCATTAACCTCTGCCATAGTAAATCTTTACTGGTATTGCTTTAAATTTGGTACAGATATCAATGCAGAATATTTTTCGATGTTACTAGTTGTTGGTCTTTTATTCATTTTGGTGCCGAAATTAGAGCCTAAGGTAAATTACATTTGATATCAATATGGAGCAAACACCTTAAATGTAGGGATGTTAAAAGTTCGGTCCGGTTCGACTCGACTCAAAAAGTCTTTATTAAAGTTCGGTTCCAAGTCAGATTTGGCATTTCACGTGCATCTTGGACATTTAAATAACAAAAAAAAAGGGTATTCATGCAAATTTTGATATACAAGTTGCACGTGAAATGCAAGTCGAGACCCAAGTCTGACTTGGGACCTAACTTTAATAAAGACTCGACTTTTTTGGAGTCGACTCAAAAAATCGACTCGGACCGTGGACTTATCGTTTGTGTCGATCTTTGTAAAACAATCTAATCTGGTCAAATTGCAGATCATTCAGCCCGAAGAATTCCGGGATTTCCAGGCCAAATGATCTGCAAAATTGACCGGAATTAGATTGTTTTGACGTATCCAAAAATTGTTGAATGGCATCGGTTGCAATTTTTGCTGGTCAGCTAAGCCGTCGGTCGGCTAAATATCGACCACGGCTAATAGTCAACTATAGTCGGTTATAAGCGCACCCATCCCTATCTGTGATATTCTTCAACTAGCATAGCTATTTGATTTCGTGGCTACCACAAATTTTTAGTTTAATAGCATGGCATTCGAAAGCTAGTGTGTTCGTACCATAATAATTTATGAATTATGTTTAAGAAAATTAATCTTGATCTAATTTTTAATTCGTAATTTTACTAAACTAAAAAGGATCGAAATTTAATACCTGGAGTGAATTTCTATCTTAGTAGTTTGACATTTTCATGGGTCATTCCTGTGATCATTACGGGCTATAAACGCACACTTACATATGAAGACGTCCCAAAACTATCAAATTCTCTAAGAGCTGAAAACGTCATAAACACTTATAATAATAATCGAAAAAAATCGCTTCTAAAATCATTTTCCTTCTCCTTTTGGAAACAGCTGCTTATTCAATCCATTTGTGCCATAGTTTGGATTTTTCTTGATTTTTTAATTACACCATTGCTTCTTGAAAGATTCTTAAATTATATTAATCACTATTCACTTAATGACGAATCTCATCCGATTGCTAGCTTATATGTTTATGGATTACCTCTTATTAAAGTAGTCTCGAATTTACTTTTACAGCATGCACAATATATTGGTCGACAGATAGCCAATAGATGTCAGGTACAATTAGTTGGCTTATCGTCATGTATTAGAAATAATCGCATTAACATTTATAAATCTGACCGGATATAGACGATTATTACCAGTGAAGTGTATCGAAAATTGATGGAGAAGAAAAGGGAAAGATTACTGATCTTATGAGCGTTGATGCACAAAAAGTTTCATCAATGATTGGAAATGTTTTATATCGTAAGTATTAGTACTTCTTTTAGCAAATATAATTTCTTTAATCAATACCAATTATGATTATGATTATTATTTTAGTATATTCATGTCCTATACAAATCATTGCTTCCATATACTCCTTGTATATTCTACTCGGCGAATCTATTTTTATAAGTGTTATCCCATTTTTGGTGGTTCTTTTACTTATTAGTTTGTTTACACAGGTAAGTATGCATAAAACATTAAAATTTTACGCAGTGTTTTTATTAAATATCGTAATTATAATTTAGGGATATAAAACTATTCATGAATGTCTCATGAATGCAACTGATAAACGTATAAAAGTGATAAACGAGGTTAGGAATTAATATCGTCTAATATTTAATATTTTCTTTTCGGAAGTAAACTAATTAACTGAATTAATAGTTATTACAATCTATTCGAATTGTCAAACTTTTTGCAAGAGAAGAATACTTTCGTAAAAATATCATGGAAGCTCGCGACTATGAGTTAAATATGCTCGAGAATCGCATGAAAAAATCTATTTTTATAGAGTTTTTATGGACTAGCCTGCCTTTCATTATGATTTTACCTGCATTCGCCTTGTATACTTCCGAAAATGTAGTTATCATATCCATCGTTTATAAATTCTTTGTATTATTCAAAATTAACATCTGTTCAAATTCTTGCATTAAGAAATTGACTTCCTCTATTGCCTTTGCGGCAATTGCTGTATGTGGCAATCTTCATAAAGCTTTTGATGATTTACCATATCAGATTATTTGCTTGATCCAAGGTATGTATTTAAAACTTCAAATTTGACACCAAATAAGTACAAAGGACATTCAAATTTAGTACAAAAGGACATTCAGTTTTGCACCAAATAAGTTTGATATCTCGAAATATAGTGGTCAGATCTTGATTATTTTGGCAATGTTAGAATTATCTCACTGAGACAGTTCGGATAATGCCAAAACCATCAAAGTCTAATCAATAGGTTTCGAGATATCATGGTTTGATCAAACATATATGTTTACAAATTTTTACAAATTTGAATGTCATTTTGTACTAATTTGATGTCAAATTTGATATATATAATGTTGTTAACTTACATGTGAATTATTGTAACTTATTATTACTTACATAGCTCCAAGTTACATGCAAGTTACATTAACTTACATAAATTTACTATGTAAATTAGCAACCTATATTTATAGTTATTGAATGCGAAATAGCCAATAGAATCTTTTATTTTTTAGCTAACCAAATACGTATTAATTTTTAATAAATTATAGCACACGTTTCAATTTCTCGGATTGAAAAATTTCTCAAAGAATCGGAAACTGTTCAAAATTATTCGACTTGAACGATGGAAGAATTGGATTTATTAATGCCACTTTTCAATGGCCAAATGCTTCAAATAACTTCATATTGAACAATCTGAACGTCTTTTTTCCACCTGGAAAGCTGTCGCTAATCCATGGTCCAACGGGTTGTGGAAAGTCTGCCTTATTGAGAGCTCTGCTGGGAGAAATGAAATGTATTGAGGGTTCTGTGCTTTTTCCAAATGGTGAAATTGCATATGTTTCTCAAACTGGTAATTTTTTTAATTCTTGTTGAATACTTATACATGTTTAATTCAATTATTAATTGCTAAAACATCTGTTAGCATGGCTTCAAAATGGAACTATTAGAGATAACATTCAAAATTCGTTGATAATAAAAGATATTCTGAAGTTTTACGTATATGTGGTCTTAATAAAGATTTGTCAAAGCTTACGTTTAGTGATAAGACAGAAATCGGAGAAAGAGGAGTTATGCTCAGTAATGGTCAGAAGCAACGTAAGAATTCAGAATTTTCATACTAAATTGCAACAAAATATAATCAAATTATTCTACTTCGAATTTCAATATATGAGCTGATAAACGATTTTTAATTCTTTTATCACAGGAATTGCTTTAGCTAGAGCCATTTATTCAAACCATAATACCATTATTTTAGACGATTGCTTATCTGGTAAATTTTCAATACACTACATTAGTGTATTTTATAAATACTGAACTTTATATTTACCGTTACTGTATTTACCATTATAAAGCTGTTGATTCATGCACAGAAAACTATATCTATAACCAATGTCTAATGAGTGACTTGATGAAAACTAAAACTCGCATTCTTGTAACACACCGCGAAAACTTTTATGGTGCTGCTTTAAAAATTTTTATGAAAGATGGCATGATAATAAATGAAGAATATTTGGAAACGAAAGAATTAGAATCCAATCTCAAAGAATCTGAAGATGTAGTATTACCAGACAACAAATGCACAGACAAATTAATTAAAGAAGAAGCAAAGGCCGAGGGCTGGGTCAAATGGAATGTCTATATGACATATTTAAAAGCTTCTGACTTTTTTTGGCTATCCATAATTCTTTTATTCATATTTGCACGGTTCTTTCAAACTCTTCAAGGTTTGTGGTTTTTAATTACATGGTGCACAGCAATTATAGTAGCAATATTGGCTATCCTGATTACTTTTCAGGTCTATGGATTAGTAAATGGACCAAAACTAATGATAATCAATTATTTTTGCCCGATCCTCTTTTGCCCGATTCCCTCACGAATAATTGTACAATATTTATCACAAAAATCCAAAAACGTCAATTATTATCTCAGTATTTATGCGTTGTTTGGACTTTTAAAAATTACATCAATGATCCTTAGATCTTGCTTCATGATAAAGTGCACTTTAAAGGCTTCCAAAGAATTACATAATAATCTGTTAAACAAAATTTTATTAGCTACGATTAAATTTTACGATACAACACCAATAGGTAATATGAATTTTTTCATATAAATATTTATCGAATTATCTTAGCTATATCTCACTTCTAACTTAAACTATTTTAAGGGAGAATTATGAACAGGTTTAGCAAGGACATGGAATTAATAGACCAAATATTACCTCTCAACGTAGAATCCTTTATCAACTCATGCGTTTCCGTAGTATTTACGATAATTATCATTTCTTTTCGGGGGTTCAGGTTTTTTACAGCATGCATTGTCATAACGATAACATATATGATAATTGGAATTCTTTATATTTCTACGTCGAGAGAATTAAAACGTGAGTAATTTAATCTAGCTTAATTGCGTTTATTAATTAGTGCAATAATACATAGATTATACGTATAGGTCTGGAATCAGTTAATAGGTCTTCAATATATACTTCATTTGACAATGTAATTGATTATTTTATATTTGCTATGGGTATAAACGCACTCATCATTTTACTAATGCTTGTTCATTTAAAAGACTATTGAAGGTAGAGAGCATTTGGTGCCAAAAGAAGTTTTAATGAAAACCTACGGGTCCTTATAGATCGTTATAATCGACCAATTTAATGAATTGGGCATCCAATCAATGTTTACATGTTTATTCCAGTTTTGCAGGAGGTTTATTTATGCTTATTATTGGGGCTCTAATTATTGATGATCTTTCTAAAGAAATGGATCCTACATTTGCTGCGTTTACATTTATAAATACAATAAAATTCAGTAATCATATCATTCAGATTATTAATACATTTACAGCTGTAGAAATGAACATGAATTCAGGCAAGTATTATATATTTCATGTTTTTGTAGTTATTAATGTAATGTATGTATTAAATGTTTAAACTTTTAGTTGAAAGAATCAAGGAATATTTGGCATTAGAGGAAGAAGATTTGAATACAAATAAGAGTTCTACAGAATGGCCTGCTAATGGTAAAATTGAAGTAAAAAACCTTAATGTGCAATATTCTAGCGATGGCCCTCTTATATTAAGAGGTATTTCATTTTGTGTTTATGCCGGAGAAAAAATTGGAATTGTTGGTAGAACTGGTATTTGAATTTATAATTTTTTCAAGGATTTTTTCTTTTTTTTTTTCTAGAAAAATTTTTATATTAAACGCCACGCTTCATTGCTATATATTAGGTTCTGGAAAGTCCACATTGGTTAAATCTATTTTGAGAACCGTAAATCCGACTTATGGTCAAATAAAAATAGATGATGTTGATATTTCGACTATCAGCTTGCCTTACTTAAGAAATAAGATTACTGTAATACCTCAGAACCCAGCACTCTTTAATGGAACCTTAAGGTAATTTTAATTCTTATCTGAAAATATTTATTTATATTACTTGATTTTTAAATACAGAAAAATTATAAGTAATATTGACTTTTCTGGTGAACATCCTGATTATAAATTATGGGAGGTGCTTCGGAAAGCCCGTTTGGTTAAAGAGCATACTTCCACTAATCAAGAAAGTAGCAGTAATGTTAATCCATTAACGCTGTATACGATTATCAGGGAAGGGGGCTGTAATCTAAGCCATGGACAGCAACAATTAATTATGTTAGCTAGAGCATTAGTAAATAAATCAAGAGTAATTATTTTGGATGAATCAACTGCTAATGTAGATCTCGAAACTGACAGCGAAATCCAGAAAACAATACGCGAGGAATTCAAAGGTTCAAGCTTATTATGTATTGCTCATCGCCTGAGGACTGTTATCAATTATGAAATAATTTTAGTATTAGGTATTATATAATAATTAATTATTTTATTCATTCATATTTATGGAGGCAACGCACTAATCATGTTTACTACTGTGATAGATTCTGGATTTATCGTGGAATCCGGCCATCCATATGAACTATTACAAAATCGAGAATCTATGTTTAGAGATATGTGTAAACAAAGTAAAGAGTTCGAGGATTTATTTGCCATAGCAAAATCAAATTACAAAGAAAGACAAATATAAATTTAAAACTGTTGTGAAGAAGAATTGATCATACATAAAATTATGGCTAGACCAAATTCACAGTATGGAACATGCACTTTTTATGGGTTATCACATACGTGGCAATTTTCGTACTGTTATGCTTCAGAGACTGTAGTCCGTCCAAGCTTGGACAAGTTATTAAACCCTAAAATACACAATATTACAAGTATATTGTTCTATATACTGGAATAGTCATTATTTAGGCCGGATCAACTTAATTCGGTGGTTTACATTACCCCCCCTCTCTCTTAGTAAAAAAATTTTGGAATATATATGATTTTGGCCGGAGAGCATAATGCAGGGCGGAATTAAGATTAGGATCCGAAAAATGAACGAACATAAGGTCAAACCGATAATTTCCGACAAAAAAATTTTTTTAAAATTTGTATGTTGGTCTACCCCCCCTTCTGTTTAGAAATATATATCCGGGGTATGGAGTAATGATATATTAGACTTTAACTTGGATGCAGCACAACATATCGCATCCACTTATTCTTCATAATCTTTATGGCTTTTTACTAGTTTTATTATTTCTACTAGCTTTATTGTTATTATTTGTAAGCCGCAAGGGTGTATTAAAGATGAACAATTATACATTTATTTATTATGACAAAATAGTATTTTCAAAAGCCATAATAATTTATTTACTTTGATTTTATGCCATAGGTTAAGTAAACTTCTTAAATAATTAGCTGAATATCTTTGAAAACGTTTTTTTCTGTTTATGGTTATAATCTTGTTATAGCACTTAAAAATTTGTAATTTGTACAGTAAACCCTCCGTAAGTACACCCTCCATCCCTATAAAAAAAATGGTTCGTATCGGTACGGGTTGGTTTCGGATAGGCACGGGCCTTTGTGGCACGGGTCAAGATCCGGATTTGT